GGTTGATTTTGGGGAATTTGTGGGTGAATTTTTGGGGGTGTTTCCGTCTGAGTTTTTGGGAATTTTCAGCTGGACTTTGCGGAATTTATGGCTGAAGTTTCGGGAATTTGCGGCTGGGTTTTTTGGGGGTCTGGGGGGGGATTTGGGGGGGTCTGGGGTTGATTTTGGGGAATTTGTGGGTGAATTTTTGGGGGTGTTTCCGTCTGAGTTTTTGGGAATTTTCAGCTGGACTTTGCGGAATTTATGGCTGAAGTTTCGGGAATTTGCGGCTGGGTTTGGGGAGGATTTGTGGCTGGATTCCGGGGAATTTTCAGCTGGATTTGGGCAGAAATTATGTCTGTGTTTTGAGGAATTTTTGGCTGAATTTCAGGGAATTTATGGCTGAATTTTGGGGAATTTGTAGCTGAATTTCGGGGTATTTATACCCGGAGTTTGGGGGCATTTATGGCTGGATTTGGGCAGAATTTATGGCTGGATTTTGGGGAATTTGTGGCTGAATTTTGAGGAATTTTTAGGTGAATTTCAGGGAATTTATGGCTGGACTTTGGGGAATTTTTGGCTGGATTTGGGAGGATTTGTGGCTGATTTTTGGGGAGATTTGTGAGAGGATTTTTGGGAGTATTTATGGCTAGATTTGGGGGAATTTGTAGCTGGATTTGGAGGGAATTTTTGGCTGAATTTCGGAGGATTTATGGCAGGATTTTGAGGAGGATCTGGGGTTGGTTTGGGGGGAATTTGTGGCTGGATTTTGGGGAATTTTTAGCTGAATTTTTGGGGGGGATTTATGACAGGATTTTGGAGGGATTCCGGGGGTTGCTTGGGGGGAATTTGTGGCTGGATTTTGGGGAATTTTTAGCTGAATTTTTGGGGGGGATTTATGACAGGATTTTGGAGGGATTCCGGGGGTTGCTTGGGGGGAATTTGTGGCTGAATTGTGGAAAAATTGTGGCTGGATCTGGGGGGAATTTATGGCTCAATTTGGGGGAATTTTTAGCTGAATTTTGCGGAATTTTTAGGTTAATTTCGGAGGATTTTTGGCTGGATTTTGGGGAATTTTTAGCTGAATTTTGAGGAATTTTTAGGTTAATTTCAGAGGATTTTTGGCTGGATTTTGGGGAATTTTTTGGCCAGACTTGGGGGATTTGTAGCAGGATTTGGGGATCATTTATGGCTGAATTTGGGGGGATTTGTGGCTGGATTTTGAGGGGGATCTGGGGTTTGATTTGTGGGGATTTATGGACTTTTTAGCTGTATTTGGGGAGGATTTATGGCTGGATTTTGGGGAATTTGTGGCCGGATTTTTGGGAGGATCCCTGACATTATTTCCCCCCTCTCTCCCCGTGCCTCAGTTTACCACTGGGTGGAGATGCGCACCAAGATGCGCCTGCTGGGGTTGGACTGGGGGGAATTTATGGCTGAATTTTTGGGGAATTTATGGCTGAATTTTGAGGAATTTTTAGCTGGATTTTGGGGAGAATTTATGGCTGAGTTCTGAGGAATTTATGGCTGAGTTTTGGGGAATTTATGGCTGAATTTTTTGGGAATTTATGGCTGAATTTTGAGAAAATTTATATTTGAATTTTGAGGAATTTTTATCTGGATTTCAGTAGAATTTATGGCAGAATTTTGGGGAATTTTTTTTGGCTGGATTTTGGGGGGAATTTATCGCTGAATTTTGGGGAATTTATGACTCAATTTTAGTGAATTTGTGGGTGAATTTTGGGTAATTTTTAGCTGAATTTTGGGGAATTTTTAACTGAATTTGGGGGGATTTTTAGCTGGATTTGGGGAGGATTTGGGGGAGGATCTGGGGTTGGTTTGGGGGAAATTTATGGCTGGATTTTGGGGATTTTTTAGCTGGATTTGGGGAGGATTTATGGCTGAGTTTTGGTGAATTTATGGCTGAATTTTTGGGGAATTTATGTCTGAGTTTTGGGGAATTTTTGGTTGAATTTTGGGGACTTTTAGCTGGATTTGGGGTGGATTTATGACAGAACTTTGAGATGAATCCCTGACACAAATCCCCCCTCTCTCTCTCCCCCGTGCCTCAGTTTACCACTGGGTGGAGATGCGCACCAAGATGCGCCTGCTGGGGTCGGTTTGGGGTGAATTTATGGAACTTTTAGCTGGATTTGGGCAGGAATCCTGACAGGATTTTAACACAAATCCCCTGTTCTTTCCCCGTGCCTCAGTTTACCACTGGGTGGAGATGCGCACCAAGATGCGCCTGCTGGGGTTGGACTGGGGGGAATTTAGAGCTGAATTTTGGGGATTTTGTGGGTGAATTTTGGGTAATTTTCAGCTGGATTTGGGCAGAATTTATGGCTGAGTTTGTGGCTGAATTTTGGGGAATTTTTAGCTGAATTTTTGGGGAATTTATGTCTGAGTTTTGGGGAATTTTTGGCTGAATTTAAGGGAATTTGTGGCTGGAATTGGGGGGATCTGTGACAGGATCTTGGCCGGATTTATGACAGGATTTGGGGTGGATTTATGGCTGAATTTTGGCATGAATCCCTGACACAAATCCCCTCTCTCTCTCCCCGTGCCTCAGTTTACCACTGGGTGGAGATGCGCACCAAGATGCGCCTGCTGGGCTTCCGGGGGGCGCAGGTGAAGCCCCTGAACGAGGAGGCGGCGGCCGAGCTGGGGGCCGAGCTGCTGGGCGAGGCGCTGGTCTTCGGCGTCGGGGGGCTCTGCCTCTACCTGGAGTACCTGCGGCAGGCGGGGCAGGGCCGGCGGCGCGAGGAGCAGCTGGAGCGCGCCCTGGCCGAGCTCAGAACCGGGCTGCAGCGCCTGGAGGCGGAGCTGGAGCGGCTGCGGGGGCGGGGCCGCGAGGGGCACGCCCAGGGCGGGGCGGGGGGTGAGCTGGGTGGGGTGGGACACGCCCAAAATGGAGGAGGACACGCCCAGGGTGGGAATGGACACGCCCAGGGGGGGGCGGGGGGGGAGCTGCGTGGGGTGGGACACGCCCAAAGTGGGGCTGGACACGCCCAGGGATCTTCAGTACACGCCCAAAATGGAGGACATGCCCAAAATGGGGTGGGACACGCCCAGGGACACGCCCAGGGTTCCACTAAGGGACACGCCCAAGGACACGCCCAAAATGGGTCTGGACACGCCCAGGAATCCTCAGGCCACGCCCCCACCGAAGCTGTGAATGGCCCTGGCCCCGCCCCCTCCGAAGCTGTGAACGGTGCTGACCACGCCCCCTCCGGTGCTGGCCCCGCCCCCGCCGCGCCAGGCCACGCCCCCGCACATTAAAGCCTTGCTGTGATTGGATGCCGTGCCTTGAAGGGGCGGGGCTAAGGGAGGAGGGGGGCGTGGCCTCTCTGGGTGTGGCCGGCGGGGCGGGGCCAGACGAGCAGGAGCGCGGTGATTGGTGGGCTCTGTGAAGTGGTCGGGGCTTCCTCTGCGGCAGGGGGCGTGGCCATCCAAGCCCCGCCCACCCCCCAAAAACCCACAAAAATTTAAATTTTTTAAAAGTTTTCTGTAGAAAAAACCGTTTATTTGTGCTGGGGGAGGGGAAACTCCCCCAAAATAACAAAAAACGTGAAAAAAACCCAAAAGTGGCTTAAAAAACACTCGGGGTGGGGTGGGGGAGGGGAGGAAGGGGAAAAGGAGGGGAGGGGCTCC